CTTAGTAAACGCAGGAGTGAAAAAATGAGTCATCAGTTAGAACAACATTAATAATTCCATATGTTAAAAATTAAAGCAATTTTTGGAAATTTTTTGTTCCTAATCAATGTTTATTATAATAATCTAGTTTCATTAATATCTAATATATTTTTATTACTTTAATTATAAAATATTATCATCATCATGTGGTGTGTAAAAGCTTATCGAATTAAATCATAAAAATGATTAAAAGAAAAGAATATTAGCAGAAATTTCACTTAAAATTAATCTACTCTGTATGATAAGCACATGAAATAATACAAAAACTTTTTTTTTGGTCATTTTGAACACCATATAGTGTAAATACACAAACACTATATGGTGTTCAAAATGACAAAAATAATCACCGACATGGTTTCAAGAATGTAAATACAAAAACTATTATAACGACATTGCAGAATTTGATAAGATTATAAAATAGTCTATTTCTCTATTCTTTTCCTTTGAAAAATTTCATAATATTTCAAGAAAAATGAATAATTTATTTATATTTTAAAAAATTATATTTAGCTAATATAAATTGTATTGTTAAACAATTGAATAGATATTATATTGTCAATATAATATACTTTTCAAATAATTTTCATTTTGTAATGATTATATATAAAGTTTTAAACTAATGAACAAATCAAAATTATTATGACAACCATTATTTTGATAAAAATAATTAAATTTAAAAGTATATAAACTTTCCCATTAAAAATAATTATAATATATAAGTATTTTAATTAAAATAATCCCCATAAAATATGAATTTTATCCATAATTATTAACTTTAACTAATTAACATTAAATATATTTTTTATTTAAATAAACAACAGATATTACAAATATATGTTATACCATAAAAATATTTCAAATTAGTTAATGAAATTATTGTTATATATATTAAATAAATGACTAATTTTATTTTAAATAAAATGATGAAAATATTTCTAATAAAAGACATTCTATAAGTTCCTGAGATTATTTAATATGAAGAAAACTTTGTTAATATACTTTCTATCATTTTTGATGGTATCATATATTTACATTAATATTATGAATTCTATTTCTTTTTATCATGATATTCCAATTCCTTAACACATGACTGCTTCTAAAAAAAAATTGTAATTAAAGTTTTCAACTTCTGTAAAAACCTGCTCCAAAAATATGTACTTAATTTGTTACAGTACAATAATCTTGAAGAGATACACTGCAATTTTACAAAATATTCCACATAGAAAAAAAGTTATCAGAAAAAATGAACAAATAATGATTATAAAATGTCTTAAAATTTTAAACAAAAGTATAAGTTATCAATGAAGAGTATTTGATTTGATAGGGAGAAAAAAAGATTTTCTATCATTATTAACTAATGTCATTTCTGATATAATAAAATCTTTTAACTTAGAGTTCCACTCAAATAAAATCATTACTTCTTACTTTGAGTATTAATTTTAAATTCTTAATTAATAGAAACTATAAAATATTTCATTTGTGCTACCATAATTTTTATATATTTGATTTGATACTTGAAAATAAAAAAAATTAAAGAAAATTTAGTCTATTACAAATATTTTTAATAGAGTTTAATATGCATTTTTGGTAACAAATAAAAAAATCAATTATTTAAATGAACATTTAATCTCCTTGCTTTTCCAATATTCATTATATAAATGTTATTTCTAATGATAAAATTTAAAAATAAATAGTGTTTACATTCAAGATCAGATTCAAGAAAGTCTTCAAATGTTATATATATACATATATTTAATATATAATGATAATATTCTAATGAAAAACTTATAATTAATATTTTTAATCACAGTTAATATACTGTGTAATCTATCAATATGATATGCAAGATCATATAATAATTTTGGCTCAAAATAAAAAATTGGGTTAAAATTTAAACAAATCTTACTTATTATTGCCCTCTAAAACTTCAATTCTCTTTTTAAATTCACCATTTTCCCTGGATAATGTTTCAACTCTGAAAAATTAATCATGATCTTAACATTCTTATAAGATGTTTTTATAGTCATAATAGTAAAATAAAAATATAACTTGCTTTCTTTCTAATGCATCCATGTATTCTTTTTTCTTCCTCCTGCTTTCTTGTGCTGAAATCTGTTGTTTCAAATAAACTTGTAAAAATCATCTCTATTTTTTTTAGATAAATTTTAATTTATCTAAATTCTAGATCTATAAATTAAATTATAATTTAATTAACCAAATTATTTCAAACTTTATGACTAATTATTTAAAGAGATTTGTAAGTTTTTCTCTTTGATAAGCTGCTTTATATATCAATTAAAACAAAACATTAATGTTAGAAACTTCTATAAAAGAGAATTCTACAGTGCTCAAAACTGAATAATTATATCAGAATTTATTAATATATAAAAACTTAGCATCTGTTCTTTAACTCATCATTATTTTGTTACTAGTAACGTTTTTGCAATCCACTAAATATGTTTAGATATAATGACAGTTCTTAACATCTTAATGCTATTTATTATCATTGGTATGAAGATGCTTTACAGATGTGGTCCTAAAATTTTCTTTTTCCTCCTACTTTATTATTATGTAGTTAAAAATGACAAATATTTTAAAGGACTAAATTTTAATCAGATGTAAAAACAATACTAAGCATAATAATAACTAATAATTATAACTGTTATTTGTTAATTAATTTTTTCATAAATAATTTATCAAAAAATTTTTCATAGAAATCTGAAATTTTTTAAGAGTAATTTATTTAAGCATTTACTAGATCACCAGTTTTTGTAATTAAGTTAGCAACTAATTGAAAAAATTTTGATAAATCTATAAAAACATTCAGATGAGAACATATATTTATATTTCTTTATCTTCAGAAATGATGTTTTATATCTGTAAAAAAGTACAAAATAGAAATAAAAATGAGAATATCAAAATATAACAAGTTGACTATATTTAATAATACTGTTTCAGTAATTCAAACACAAATCAATTATTGTATTTATTCAGACACTTGGCAAATCTCATCATTAAATTTTATTCAGTTGATAGAATATAGAATAAAATAATTGACCAGAATACTGTTTCAATTAAAAGAAATTCACTTTGATGGATTGTTGTATTTATTTCAGTTTTTAAGAATGAGTTTGGCTATAGTCACATAATCTTAAAATATATTCTTATTTATGAAATGATATCCTCCCTGTCATATAATAGATTTTGACATTCTCTATCATTTAGTAGAATTATAATCATAATGTTATCATTTTAAACATGTACTATTAGCCTAGTTTTATTATTGATATGCTTATAAAAATAATTAAAAATATTGGAAATTATACTAAAAAAATTATATAACATGTTAATTATGAATAGACATTACATTCAAGAAAAGATAAAGATTTAGCATTATTATTATTTTTTTAAATAAAATAATAAATATAAATGGATATCATGATAATGCATAAATAAATATAAAATTATTCATTAAACATTTTCATCCATGATTATGAACCATGTTTATAATAATTTCTAAAATTCATAAAAAATTTTTCATAAACATTAGTACATAGAATTTCATAATAGATGATACAAACTAAAACAAATAAAGTTCTTTAAAAAGAAATAACAATAAGGCAAACATTCATAAGTTCATAATAAACTATAGTAATATTTGATGCTGTTTACACAGCATATTTACACATTTGAATAATATGATGATTAAAAAATAATATATTTTGCATATCACTTTGGAATTATCATAACAAGTTGGCAATGATAAATAAGATGTATCACAAATGAACAGATTAATTTGTATCACTTTAGACCTGTTGTTGTACTTTGAAAAATAAAATAAATTAAATAAATATTAGTGAAAGAACATTATGACATATTAAAAATAAGAAAGAAATAAACAAAATGAAATAGGCCTGAAACAATGGTATCTTCTATCAAAATGATCAAGTTATTTCATTATCTTACATAGTGATTATCCACAAGTTATGTAATGACAGTTTTATACTTTTCAACTAACATCCCCCCCATAATGTCAGCAACACTGTTGTACATACCAATCCCAAAATTATGTAACTGTTATCTTTGGTCAAATCCCTTAATTGTACTAATTAATAAAACATGGCATAAGGAATGATACTGAACATTAGATTACACTATTAATTACACATATAACATACAAAGCAGTAATATAAACAGTAAAGTTTGCTATGCAACACTTCAGAAACAAAAATGAATGATTCTGTACCCAAGGATTGAGACTCAAGCATTGTGTAATGCTTATGTAAACACTCCCATCCTCTTAAAAAGCACTGTAATAATTATCTGCATATCCACTCATCCATATCTGTATTACATAATTTATGGATAATCCCATATTCATATCAGTTACTTGAAAAAAAAATCAATACAAAAATCTCACTTAAATATTAAATAATGTAATACATCAGAAATAAATGATTAATGTGTTAAGTACTATAACATTTATATTGTAAACAATATATCAGTTAATGATCAAAATATTTTAATAAGAAAATATCAGCTTTAATATTAAAAGATTCTATATTGATGATCCATTTCCTAAAAATTAATGTAGTAATGCACATAATTTTCACAGGAAATTCTTGTTTCCTGTAAAAATTATGTAAATGATTTTAGATGAGATTATACATCATTTGATTTTAGTAACATGGACATATTTCATGGACATATTTCATGGACATTGTCCAAGAAATATGATACTACAAAGTATTATGCTGAAATAAATAGTATTCTTTCTATACTCATTGAGTTCAAAAGCCGTATATAGCCATCAGATAGCATTCTTTGCCTCACTTATTGTAACTGAATTGTTTATTGCTATAATGAGATGAGTGTCTTTCTACAAAAATTTAAATCAGAGAAATCTTCAGACTACAATAAGAGGGGACACAACTACAAAAAAGAGCATCATACATTGTGCAAGAAACTTCAACTCTGATTCAGTATCAGATCAGTCCCACAAAGTAGTAATGGTTGCATTCGGAGCTAACCTGACATTGGAAAATATAGGCTATGGCTTTGGTAAACATACAACAAACAAATAACTAGATAAATATAGTTGCATAAACCAAGTGACAAATATTGTTCATTAGTTTCTTTTACACTAGATATGCTAACTAGAAGTTATGAATTTTCTGTTGTTTGGTAATAGTGAAATTTGGGATCTTTTGAGAATTAGAAAAAAGAAATCCAGATGGAAAAATGGGGCAAAGGCACTTAGGGGGTCTGAAACATATCAAAACAGAATGTATTTGTATTGTATACACAGAATGTATTATATGTACTGTATCAGTTTAAACCTTTGTTGTTATTCTTCATCTGTAATTTTATTTCAGCTTAATAAAATCTTGTCTGAAATGAAGTTGTTTTATTTATTTCAAAAATGTCATAATTTTATTTGATTATGAAATTTCTTAATTATTGATAACCTATTGATCTATCAATTTTGAATTCTGGCAATGGCATTATAAAAAATTTTATGTATAATTTCCTCAAAAAACAACACTGAATATAATTTTAATTTATTATAGACTATTTGTCTTACTTTTACTTAAGAGATCTGCTCTCTTCAGCATGCACCATAAATTATAAAAGAACTGATAATCTATAACAACTTTCAGTTCTTCTTGACCAGTCAACAGTATTATTAACTTTATTCAAAATTTTATATTTTAACATTACAGATGATAGATTATCATTGTTTGGAAAATCTTACAAAATATTAGATTAAATTAAACATTCAAAATTCACTAAATGTTATAAACTATATTCACAGTTCACAGCATATAAGATGTACAGTACCTTCCATTTCAGTAAAGAATATTTAGGGAGAAAAGTATTTAATTAAGTCATGCTGTGCATTTGGTATTCAGCAGCAAAATTTTTAAAAATTTTTTTTGGTTCAAAAAAAAAAAAAAAAAAGTAAAGTTAAAAGGTATACTTTATTAACCAGGGGAAGAGAGAAGTTTAAAAGTCATTTACAATTAAAATTTACCATTTAAATATTCAACATGAATACATGCAAAAGCTGTTCAACTATAGCTAATAATAATAATACGGTTAATTAAGTAATAACAATTTTATTCAAGAGTTGGGCTAGGTAGAGGTTACTGCAGTCTACTAAAGCTGGGGAATTCATTAGCTGGGAGATTACAACTTCACAAATAAGACATGGGCCAAATTTTCAACTTGTTCTTTGGACAAAAGTTGTATCTTTTTACTAATTAAATTAATTTGCATAATGAATCTATTACAAAAACAAAACTGCTCTCTACTGTCAATTATTTAATGATCAAAGCAAGTAACTGAATAAAAGCAGCCATAAATTTCTGACTGTTTAGTTTATCCACTACATTTTATTTAAAGAGTATCTTTTAAAATTCTCAAATAATACAAGATTCATTCATTTACATAAAAATTTTAAAGTAATTTTTAACTATAGAATATCAATAAGAAATTAAAGACAAAATTTCAACATAATACACTGTAATAAAAAATTTAAAAAATATATAAAACAAATGAACATTAACTATTTGACATCATGCCCAAAACTGTGCTAATTAAACATACCTCAACAGACAAAAAAGTAACTTTGAACAAACATAAAATTTTAACTTTATTACAATTACAATAATGCTAATTTCATTTTTGATTAAACTTAACATATAAAAATAAAAATTACCAAATTACCAAATGCATTTAAAAGTATTCAGAATATAAGCAATTATATATTATCAAATAAGCATATATCTTCTCATATATTTCAATTTTAGCTGATTTTCAATTTTTCCATTATATTGGTAGTCAAATGAAAATAAAAATAAAATTCAATTCACCTTATTTTTGATTTTTCTCCGAACTTTCTTCAACGACCTCTCTTCCGCTTTAGTTAGAGGCAGATGCTGAGGAATAGGATAGCCTTCTGCAAGAAGTGTTCTCTTCTCTTCATCTGTCAGAACTAACACACCTGTGGCACCCTTCTAAAAAGAAAAATAATTAAAAAAAATGAGTGTTGGACAAAACTAGAGAGAAGGATATGGATACACCTGAGCTGTACACCTGAAAGGAAAAACTTACCGGCTGACTGCTGATGAGACCAGACTCCACCCTACCTGGAGATCGCGAAGAAGCCAGAGAGACCACAAATTTAGGATGCAACTGATTCCGCCTGTTGGACGTTGATCCGTTAGGCGGGGGAGCTGAAGGTGAAGGTGGATGGCTACCAGCATGAACGGGGGAGAGACTACCATCGGAATCACTTCCATTACTGGACGGTGGCGTGGGAGGTAAGGCAAATGTGGTGGCTAAATAACAAATAGAAAAAAATTCCGTTAGTTAATACGATTACATTGATAATAAAACTTAATCAATGGATCTCGAGGTGGTGCTGTTGAATTAATTAGAAAACTCGGAATTTCGAATAACATCGCAATTCATAAGCTAACCAGAATACACTAAGTCGTACCCTAACATGGTAATTCAACTAACCAGAAAAATTCTTATTAATGGAAAATTTATTTAGTTTAAAATTTTCATTATCAGAATTGAACATTCACGAGAATGGAACGGAATGCGCCACAATTTTCCCGACTGCAGGGTATCCGTTACGGATCGGCGCGTCACGCCTACGAAAACCGGAACTTCCGCGAAGTACTGCACGTTCCTATCTGTAATGACGAAGAAAAACTCCCCTGTGCTTTTTAAAAACTTCGAATCCAACATTATGCGACCGAAACAGACGAACGATAAACAAGGATAAAATTCCGAAATGTGAACGACAGATGTTCAAACAGAGAAAGATAAGCCGGCTCCAACTATCCTAGAAGAAACGACAGCTGACAGTGAATGGCGCAATTGCAGCGTGGGACGGAATAATAAATTAGTCGAATTAACTTAAAACTCGAGGAAGTAAACTTCTTTAGGAAGTGGAAGGAAACGAAAGGAAAACATCGATATTTTTCAGTTTCAGTGTTTTCCGATAGATGGGACCGTCCCCCCTTTTTTTTAATTTTTTGGTCACGAGGCGAAACTATTTCGCATAGTAGTAGTAACTCTATCTTTTGTCCCAGTTAAGTGGTCCAAAATGACGCGACCTTCGATCGTGGGAGGAGGCGCACCACCCCGAAAACAGACTCGCTATCTTACCAGCGACCAAAGGTTCCAACTTGATGCTGACTTTCGGTACTGTCATACAAGGTTCCTTAGGCTTGTGAGTCGATCCCGATCCGGGTCGGCCAGCCAAAACAATAGTAGGCTGCTTTAGTAGACTGTTGGGATGGACGGCGGCTACGGACGGCGAATCTGAAGATGAGGAAGCTGCTGGTACGGGTTTTGTTTCGGGAGGAAGAGGAGGAGGAGGAGTGGGAGAAGAAGGTGAAGGAGGCTCTCTCTTAATTACCACTTCGTCCGGAAAGTCCGATTGGTCGGTGACGGAGGGAAAACAGTCAGTGTCCATATCTGTGAAAAATTTACGAGTTTTGGATTACAACCTGCTAAAAAAAAACAAAAAACTGTAATCCGGAAAGCGACATTCAAAAAACGGACTTCTGTACCGAAATTCATCGTATTTCTAAGAGGGCACCGATCGTCTCCATCTGCTCAACATCGCTCAACGCGAAGATGTTTCTCTCTCTCGTAGAAATAATAAATTTTCTTCTGTTATTTAAAAATAAAAGGAATCTTTCCGCAGCATAAAGTCTGATTGTTACTTAAACAGAACTATTCAATTTTTTTTATCATCTATTCGTGGAATAGTCGTGCACGCAGTTATTGTATAATCGCCGCATTGTTAGAAATCGAATAAACAGTATGCAAAAAATTGAAATAAATTTTTCATAAGACTTTATAAGTTGCAAGTTAGAGCGGCATAAGCCTACGTTTTCGAAACTTGTGCTTTCGAACGGATTAATCTTATCCACTCCGTCTGAAAGCATATAGGTATGTAAAGTAAAAATCTGTACAATTTTAACAGCTATTTTGTATTTTTTAAAATAAATTTGAGAACGAGCTAGAGTAGATTGTTGTTCGGATTTCGTAAATTTAAATACAAGTCATCGTGGCAACAATATTCTAAACATAAACAGAGTAGAGCAGCTTAATGATGAGCAAAGATTTGTAATTGTCGAATTTTACAAACTTGAGGAAAGGGGAAAGCTTCATAATGTAGGTGTTTTGTGGATATAGGAATGGCAAGAAAAACGGTTTACAGCATCATAAAAAGGCTAGAAAATGCTAGTACCCTATCGCCTCTGCATCTCAAAAAAGTGTACATAAAGTAGTGTACAGTATTATGATGATGCTGATCCTATTCCTCGAGAAACACCAGATAGCCTGTACGTCTTCTAGCCGGACCTCGCAGCCGCGCATTACGCAACATACACAATTTATGTGCTAGAAGAGTATGCAGTCCGTTACGTCAGCAAAGAGAACAAATGTTCCTCAGCTGTATCCAGCCGAACGATTCTGGTACCAGCTGAAACAGGTGTGTGAAAATGGGTGGTCTGTCGAAAATGAAATAAACCTAAAACAGTGCATCGAGTCCAAACTCTGTCAATTTAATTCAGAGTATTCTAAAGATTAAAATCGGAAAAGCCACTGACTTCCGACCAGATTTTATAATTTAGAGACAGGAAAAAAAAACTAATTTTGTCAATTTTGTGATCCGAGATAATCACATTGTAAAAATAAATAAATTTGATTTTGTGCCCAGTTCTTGTTTACACACCTTCAGGTTTCGAAAACGCGCTCTGCCAGCGGAAGTAAACAGAAGAAACATAAACATTCCACCCCGACGCGTACGACGTCTGGTCTCAATTTCCTTCCGGAAGCCATTCCTGGGTTTTTACTTCCGGGGAAGACAAACGCGGACCGACTACTTCCGGGAGAGCAGCGCTCTTTTCCGGCGGAGAATGCCCGTCGTGACGACCGCGGAGACGGGGTGAACGGCCCTCGGGAATGCGACCGAATCGGCTGCACGGAGAGGAAAACGGCTTTCCGCCATTCGGGCACTTCCTTTTCCGCCGACCGCCGGGGAAGAGGAGGAACTCACCTTTTCCGTACTCTTCCAACCTGGACTGGATGGCGAAGGGCGATTGGGGCATCTCCTCGTTGAGAGTCAGCGAGTAGCTGTGCTCCGTCTGAATATGAGGCGACTGGACGGCGTCCGTCATCATCCTGTCGTTCAGCACGATTTGTTGGTTGTTGTCCAAAATATCCGACCAATCTGCTTCGGAATCCACGTTCATCTCGGCGAAATTCTACCAGAGAAAAAATCCCAAACTTCGTACACGACAGCTTCTCTAGTAAGGCGATCCGAGTCGGTTCGGACCGGTTTGTCACCCGAATGTCGTTCGGCGTCGATTGGTCGACGACCTCAGAAAGTCGACTCCGGGCGGTCCGAAAGCGAAAACACGAACCGTCGGAGAAATCGCCAGTCTTTCTCCGCACCGTCTTCGGCCACAGTCGTCGCGAAACAACGCGGCGCGGTCGACGACCGCCCAGGAGCGAAGTAGATGAGGCTCCGATCGTCGACACTCTTCCAGGAAAGAGGACGCCGGTTGCCAAACAGTCACTTTCTACCGCCACCGCCACCGCGACCTTGTCCTTGTCCTTCGTAACCCGCTCCACGTAACGAAAAGTCCTACTTAGCGCTGGGTTTTTACCTCCGCGTCGCGAGACGGAACTCTAACCTGGCGTGCCTCGAAGGGAGCGGATATTCCCGGACGGAAAACCGACCTACGATTTTCCCGGAACGATTTCTCGACGTTCTTTATCGCTAAAAACGAGGGACAGAGATGGGAAAGCGATTAGAACGAGCCGACAGGCACTCACCTCTACGGAACGCGAAACGGCGACGCGATGCCAACTAAGGAATGGGGAGAAGGTTCGGCGCGCGAGTTCACGGACCGGAGTCATTGGCCTCCGGTGCCGAGGACCCGTGGCTGACCTTGGACGCTAAGGAAGCCACCGATCCTTGCAAACTCGACGGATACGCTCGGCGGCGCTTCGTGCCATCGTCGCCGTTCCTCGCGCCTGCGGAGCGGAAGAAAAATGCATCTCGGACGACACGCACTTCCGGGACGGAGGCCTTCTCGCGCCGATCGGTTAGCCGCGCCGAGGATCGGCTTCCCTTCTACCGGGTTCGGCGCCGTCCGAACTAACGGCCCTTCGTGTACGCGCGCGCGCACGAAAAAAGCGGACGGGATCGATGACCAGCGCGCGCGAGACGGGATGTTTTGATCCAGTTGTCAAATCGAGCGTGCCGACGAGAGAAGACGCGGATCGGAAACTGGGTCGACCTCCTTCCCGGCCGGAGTCCTTTTTAGGATTCGAATCGCGGAGGGGGAAGAGCGGGTGGGAAAGACCAGGGCAACCTCCCGATGGCCCTCCGAATTCGTAAGAGAAACGGACCAGTTTCGGCCGACGGAGAGCAAAGTTTGTCGCAAAGTTAATCCGAAATTGCAGGCGAGATTCCGTGTCGAAACGATAATCGATGGAGAATCGATGCAGTTTCGTAACGCCTGCCGGGGGACCGGGTACCGTCCCGAAGGGTAGAAAGCGCCGGGAATCGGGCTAGAAGTGACGGTCGACGACGTCGGCGGGCTCGACGACCTTGACTGTCACAAAACCGTCGAAAGAACCGGCGCAAAGAATTAGGACAGACTAATGTAGGTCTGTGGAAGAACTCGTCGGCCGAGACGTAACCGGATGCGCCCGCTTCCAGAGTTTTTCGACCCTGGGGACGAAACCCGGAAATGAACGTCGGCCCGACCGAATCGCCAAAAGCGGGCCTCCGGCGCTTCGGCTGTAACGAACCGGGCGCGGCCGACGATCGAGCGTGGAACGGGCCCGACGGAACCCGGCCCCGTGGACGGAGTCGACGCCGAATAGGGACCGTCTCCCAACGGAAAGAACCGCCGGATTGCCCAGCCGCCGCGGACAGCCCGGAAGAGCGCCCGGAGTTTAAAGGTCCGTCGGAAAAAGCGACAATATGGAATGGGCCGGCCGCCGCCGGCATCCAGATGGTGGGTCGTACTTACCGCCTCGTAGCCGCCGGACGTCCACAGGTCCTTCAGATCGACTTGGCCGGTCTCGAACGGGTCGGCGTCCACCCGAATGTCTTCCATATCCGAGTCGCGAGTGTCGCAAGTCCGGTTCGAATCGACGCCGCTTCCTCGGCTTCTGCCGCTCGGATTCTTCTCGTCGGTCGTCGACGGGAAACGGAAGCGCGACGTCTGACTCCCGCCGTCGGCGCCGGGAAAAATAGTCCCGAGATCCCTCCGAGAGCGCGGTCCCTCCGCTGGCCGACGAACGAAGGGAGAAGAGGTTCGAACTCTAATGTGACAAGAACGAAAAGAAACGCCTTCTTCGGCCCGAGATCTCGAGGATGTCCCGGAGTGGATTTGGTCCGAAGACACGATTCCTTCGCCTATTGGTCGGTGTTTGCGCGTGACGCGAGAGGGCAACGTTCGGCGCGGATTCCCGTTCTATTAAGTGGGAAGCCACTCCGGGCTGGAAAGGTTCTCCCGTCATTTTCCACTACATTCGCCGTCCGACCGGGAGAACCCTCTATTTTTCCTATCGGAGCTCTCATCCCCAGACTTTTCCCAAGACGGGGAAGACAAACACGTTGGCCTTTCCACTTTTTTTAGGCGTCTTTTCCGACTCTTCCGGAGGAGCGTTCTTTCCTGCTCTGGAAAAAGGAGTAGGCGCAGAAACTCGAACCCGATCAAAGAACACACCGCCATCTGGTAACGCAATATAAATATATTTCAAACTATGGACCATACATAAGAACTTCGTAAACAAAACATTTGCGATTTCACCACTCTCTCTTCTGCGCGGGACGGCTCGTAACTTCGCTTCGGACCTCGGAAATTTCCGGCCGTGTGCAGTTGTTTCCGCAGAGGAGTCCGGCCCGCAGTCGACCCGACGGACGGAAGTGCGGTCGGTGGGGTGACTATTTCTTGGACGGAGTCTCTTCGTCGGACGGGTCCTCGCTGCCGAAATTCTGCCAAGAAAAAACAAATCAAACAAAACTTTAGAAACCGATCGTTAAAAACGGTCGAAACGTTTTTTTCCACTCCTATTTTTTTATTCTTGCGTAAATGTTTACCGCGCGATTTCCACGATTAAACTTTATATGTTTGGAATTCTTTAGATTTTATATCTTATAACGAAACTAATTTTCGTTACTTATACTTTGGTTGCTATCCTACCTTTTGCAGAATACTAACAGTCGATTTTTATCGAATTACAACACCGTTTATAGGATTCCGTCGTCCGCAAATATAGTTTGTGCTTAGTGAATCAAAGTTATTCGAGTAGCCTTCATTTAACAAAAAATATTCACATAAAAATTTTTTTAACAAAATGCATTCGATATATTTTATTCGTTAACATTTCTGTTACTTCGTTTATAACTATTAATGGCAAAATTAAAATAATCTTGGTGAAACGTATTGGAGTGGGTGTGTAAGAATAATAATTTTTCAGTTTTAACTCTGTGAAATATGTTTGGAAAACAAAAACTGCTCAAACTTAAAAACAAATTAAAATTGCCACGGGTTTTAAGCTTGTTCGGTTCTGTTAATCATTAAAAAAATATTAAAAAATCGAACTTTTTAAACTTTATATACAGAAAACTTTAGTAAAGATGTATTCGCAGACTTCATTTGTATAAATTCATGCTTTTTTGACAGGTTACTAAAATGTTATTTCCTTTATTGTGTCAGTAACAGCGTGGCTTCTTTGATCCGGAAGAGTAGGAAGTGTAAGAACGATAAGATGCATGTGATCGGTACATTTGCTCGAATTTTTTATACTTTATTTTAACGTTATTCGAAGCGAAATATATATATTCCGTAGATGAACGAATTCTTAAAAAATTGACTAATTCGTGTAAAAAACTGAAATTCTGGTTTCATTTTTGGAAAGAGTGGCTAATGGTGTCTACTTTGGATTAGACGTTTCACTCCAATGAACGTTAAATTCGGAAGCGGAAAACGATAATCCCGATTAAATTACGCAGCTGGAAAACTTCATTACTAATATATCGCGATTAATTTGTTCCAATAGCCAGTCGCGGATAAAAATACTCTTAAATTATTTCCTAAAAATTCCTACATAATACAGTATTCCTATTCTTCTAGCTTATAAAAACTAAAGCAAAATAATGATGTAAGGATGAAAATATAAGACAGCTCTCCTACATATTCAATAATGTCCATAAAATATCTTTCTTAAATGCATTTTATATTTATTACCTTAATTAAATATTTTACATAATACTGTATAAACTAAAAAAAAATTAATTTTAATATTTATGAACTCAAATCACCTCTAATTCCTGGAGAACTTCGTCTACGAAATCCGTTGGATTTTTCTTATATTGCACAGCATACTTGATGGCATCTCTAAACAGCTGGAATCGATAATATACGGTCAATTTAAAACAATCTCACTGAAAGATCTTTGAAAATTTTAAATAGATATAAACTGATAAATATGTATACAAATATGTATTAATACTTACATTTCAAAAATAAAAATCTACATAAAAACGATCTTACTTATTACAAAAACTATATATTTGTACTTTTATGTAGAGAATAATCAAAATAAACTACAACTAACAAAGTTTTTCTACCTAAAATAATTTTTAAGATTAAAAAAAAATTTTTAGATATTTTATTTATGAAAAAGTTAAATTGTCATATAGCAAAAATATATGTTATTAAAATTGATTTACAATGATAATTTCACTGCAATTTCAGATTACATGATGTAAAAAGAATAGCAAAATTAACTTATGCTTATTATAAAATTAAAAATAAATAAACAAAACACTTAATTAAATATTGTATATATAGTACATATAATTTCCTTAGTTCATGTATATTGTAACTTTGAACATATCACTTTGAAAAAGTCAATGAATAATTATATTTATATGGTATTTTCATTTTAATTCAAATATCCATTTCATTCTTGTAATCAAAATAATTAAATAAATTACCTAAATACTAAAATTGTTTTTTCTATAATGTGTTAAATTATTTTAATCTAACATCAAATTATTTGTACAATAATAATTGCTCACTCACTAAAATTATTTTAAAAATATTTAAATATATAAATTATAAATAATAGTATTTTAGATTAGTTTCATTATCAATAATATAATGTATCTCATTTGGTATATTTCTTGTTGAAAAAATATCCCATTTTTATGAACCATTCCTACTATACTATCCCATTACGAATCCTTAATATACTATTATATAAAATAATCTAAATCTATTATATTCAAGAAGTTTCAGGAATGGATCAAAAAATCAAAATGTTTTATAAAGAATTTCATTTAACACTTTAAAATAATCATCCTGAGCTTCAATATACTTTATCCAATTATTTTTAAAGTTAGGAAGCATTTAGAAAAATCAACTTCTTTGAAAACTGAAAAATTTTCTTCATTCATCTTATATGAGTTCTATTGACAAAATTTTTTTTTTTTAATTTGCAACTTTAAATGAAGAAAATAGTCATCTAAGAGCTTTATCAGGAATATAGAGTGATTTCAAAATAACAGCAGTTGCAAAATAACAAAAATTTCTTTATATTCTGTTTTAATGTTTTGACCCATTCCTGAAACTTTCTAAACAAATCTTGTACAAAAATAAAATCAAATTTTTGCATAATTCATTTTAAATTTCATTACCTATCTCTTTTAATTTTAAATAAAAAAAAATCTATTATAAAAAATAGATCTTTTTTTTATTGAACATTTTTTCCATATAACTTTTACAGAAAAATTAAGATGCTCAGTAATATAAATGAAAATAAAAATAATATTTAAATCTGTAGAAATAAAAAGATATCCAGAAAAACAAATAAGTGATAATCAATTATTTTTGTTATTTCTTACAAACAATAAACCTCTTTAATGTACTAAATTCTATATGTATGTACAGTAATACACCAAACTTACGTGATAGATGGGACCGAGTGATAACCGCGTAAGTCGAATTCACGTAAGTCGGGGTATAATTTCGCAATTTGTGTAAAATCCAAGTCGGATGTATGTAAGCTAATAAATGTTCTCGTTAATCTTATCTCATCTTTTGATTCGTTCACGGTTACAAGAAATCACCACATAGAGTCTCTCAAGTCTCCGTAGATATAACAAATACAGAAATAAATAACACAAAATAAATTGTAGCTATGTGTTAATTCTGCGCAACACGTCCAAACAGGTAAGCTGAACAATAGTGTGGGGGAGTGAGTAAACAAGAGTTGCGTGGCATTCAAACAAAAGACAAATCGATGAAATTTGAAAATCGTGTAAGTCGGGGTAGCGTAAGTCGAGGTATTACTGTATGTATTAGATAATATTATTTTAGTATTAATAAGAGAACATTATTTTAAATTTAGAGAAAGTGATCTTATATATGTCAGAATGCAGGACTGTAAGATATATTCCTGAAACAGGAACAAAAATAAAGATGGCCATAGTATTAAAGCAATTGAAATACAGTGGGTGATCGGTTAACGAACATAATCCGTTCCAAGACTTTGTTCGCTATCTGAATTGTTCATTAACCGATTATCGATTTACCATAGGTTTTAATGGAAATTTAATTAATTCGTTCTGGAGACCGCCAAAAATAAAAAAATATATACTTTCTTATTACGTTTATTTATACGTAATAATAAAAATACATACATGCACAGTCTTGCGTTTTTATTAGTCATGTTTTTTCCATTTGAAAGGGTTAAAGAATCTGTCTAATGTTGATAGCTTTTCTCTCTTCTTCAGGATTTTACGTACGTAATTAATAGGATTGCAATTGTAGAAATCCCCAAGCCTCAACCTAGTTTGGATGCCGTTCTAAGACCGTTGTTCTGACATCTTCCCACTTCTTCAAAAGATCTTTAATAGCAAATATCGACATTAATCCTCTTTTTCAGAAGAAAACATATCTCGCCGAGTATCTTGGTGTTCTTCATTCAAGAGTTTTTGACGTTCTTTTGTCGTCAGATCCGTTTCAGGTTCCATTATGAACTCTTCGATGTTCTTTATTTCTCAGATGTGACTTTTATTACTCCTTTAGCTGCTTGAGTCTTCTTGATTATACAGTATTTTTCTTAAATAAGATTGAACTACGGCCTACTGTAGACCTGTTCATGCCATACTGCCCAGCAACATTAGGCATCTTCTGCCCACTTTCTACCTTTGCTATTATACTCTCACCTTTTGAAAAGAAAAAAAAAACAGACGCAAAACTTAACTTGTGCCTACCCGACAGTCTCGCAAATACATAAAAGAACTGTTTTGTCAGAAAAATAAAAGGCTGGAATTACAAGGGAGAGTTTCAAAGTTCGGAGGAATACTATCCGATTGGTATATACCAGCTTGAGCGTTGATGTCGACGTCTCCCACACTCCGAAAAGTTTCGAATTGTTGCCTGAAGACAAGAGAAGACCAATCGGTATTCATTATTTTATGTCGCTTCTTCTTGTGTTCATTCTGTGCAGTGTTCGTTGTCCGAACATAAAAATCTTTCGCGAAAGTGTTCGTTATCCGATTTGTTCGTTAACCGATCACCCACTGTAACAGGAAAATTGACTGTTATAACTATTTGATATTTACTTAAGGTTGGAAAAATTTGACTGCAAGAGATAATATAGAATATTAGTATATATATTAAGTTGTTATTGAAAATCTAGTGTTTGAAAATATACAAATGTGTTCATTTTTCTTAATAAAGAATTAATAAAACTTTACTAGTACTTTAAATAAATCAAGATACAAGTGAATATTTGTTAACTTATACATTTTTCTGTTTTTATGGAGACCAACAAATGTATACTTCTTTATCCCAAATTTTTGATGTTCTAGACATCATCAGGGGTTTTGTGCCCCTGATAATGGACTGAAAGATGTGAAAATACAAAGTTTTTGGAGAGGCAAAGTTGTTAATATGCAAATTTTTAGAAATGAGCAAGCAAATTAACAAATATGTATTTTATCAAAAATAAAATGATGATTTATCTGAAAAAGTTAACTATATCTGTTTATGAACTAAATTTTTATCAACAATCAAGACTAATTTATAATTTATTATTTCTTTAACATTAAGTTTCAGGTTTAGTTTATTTGTTATTAATCAGGCTAATATTTTATTTATCTTATTGTTAATGTAATTGGATGTTGTTACAGTAGAGCATCGATTATCCGAAACAATTCGGGACTGGGGTTGTTCGGATAACTGATCATTTACGAAAAAATATATTAAAACACAAAACTGTACTGTATATATTTTGTATCACACATCTTATAAATACATACCTTATATACTTTACATAATAAATTAGGCATACAGTTTAGGTTGCAGGGAGGGAGAGAGTGCTGCAACACCACAAATGCAGCACTAGTGGAAATTTGGATTTGCCAACTGAAACGCTTTTGGTTAACCGATCTTTCAGTTGATTGGTATTCAGATAATCAATGCTCTAATGTATTATATCAATTTTTACAAGAAACTGAGATCTACAAACTTATTAATCATTATGACAACAAAATTTGGTAATAAAATTGTTTGTTTTTTCTTTTTTTTTTGAAATGTTAAAGGCTACATATTTATGTTTTCTAAAATTTGTATTCAATAGTAGCTGCATTAGATGTATTAAAAATTATATAACTATTTAAAAATGTTTCCTTTATTTAAATTCAAAGCTCTGATTTAAATAGCTGACTTAAATTTTTCAACTCAGCAAATCATTATTTCTTATTGATTTATGCATATGTATAAATCTTTTAATGCAAAATAATGTAAATAATGAATGAAAATTTGTTAATTGTTAACTTTTCCTAAATTAAATTAAATAAAACATTACAATGTTTTAATTTACTTAATGAAGAAAATCAAATAATGTCAATACTTTGAAGTCAATTCAGTTATAACTAAAAAATTTGAAATGGAAAATAAAAGTATATTAATTAATACAAATAATTTGATATACTTTTTAATATATTTGTGTGTGATAAAAGTGATTTGATTTAATTGTTTTTCCATATACCTTTTGCCATTTATTTCTTTCAGAACTGGCTATTCATTTTAATGCCTTCTAATAAATTTCTATTGTGCCAAATTGAAATCAAAAGATTACAAACATAAAATGTAAAATATTATTAATCAGTTCATGAAGATATAAGCATTTTCCTAAAATTAATGTCCTCTAATCTTTAAAGTTTTTTGTATAGATTATTTTTGTATAGATAATTTTCAAATCAATTCATAATTTCAATTATTCTTCTACAGTACTGGATCAAGTGTAAAGCTGAGACAAAATCAATTGCCATCCATTTTCGGAATGGTTGCCATTAGAGAGCAATTTTAATGATGGCATTCTGGTATGAAC